GTGCATCGATTGTTTCGAGGTAACGTGCGCCTCAGCAGGCGAGTCGTCGAAGGGATCGTAGGACGGACAGGACATCGCGGGCCTCTCGCAGCGATTAACTGAGGAAGTGGGGGGAGTTTATCACGCGCGAGTGCACAAAAACGTGGCTGTTTAAGAGAGGATGAGTCAACGCAACAGGCTCTCACATTTCTACCCTCAACACGAATTTAAAAGGCCTTAATTCCTTCCATTTAGTCGGCAGACATGAAAGGCGTCGCTGGAATTTGTAAAACCAATCCGAGTTCTTATTCCACAATGTGGGGAATGTTAATGAGTAAACGAACAGAAAGAATCTGAGGCCTTGAAGGACCCAGCCTCGAATCCGAGGGGTGGGAAGGGGGAAGGGGGGCACAAAACAAGTGAGCGAAACCGTTTTGTCGGTTATGCTTCAGTCAGGCGTTTCGTCGGCAGCCATCAGGAATATTCTATACATGGTCTTCACCGGTCTGTCCTAATCATCTATTATACTGTCAACGAAATAGCTGCTCGAAATCATGAGTGTTCTGAAACAAGAGAACGTCAGCAAAGAGAGCATTTACTAGCTACAGGCTGCTAACGTCTCAGTCGGAAAACCACGCATGTGAGCGAAGTGTGTTATTATGCCTTGTTCATTGAGCGTTTTCACTGCAACAATGGAAAGTGGTCGATTTTGGGGGAATTTATTTATCGATTATCCAAGGCGTATGCGTCTGTCATTGACTCGCCGCTGTAGCTTGCTCTATTAGCGCACGCGCTCCACGGGTCAACCCCGGGCGTCGGCTAAATAATAACTGAAATGGGTGCGATGACGAGTGCGACAGTGATGACAATGAAGTTGATAGTTATGATGATGCTGATGAGAGCAAACGAAGGGGGTAATGGTCCACAGACGGGAGAGGTGTCTGTTGTCGTCTTTTCTGGCAACAGTTTTAGGCGGATTAGCACTGCCGGCAAAGATGGGGGGGATTCGAATGGCCATTTTGGCTCATCAGCCGTTATCAGCCGGT